AGTATGTAAAATTACATATTACAGGAGTAAGTCAAACACTAAAAGCAATAATAAAGAAAACTCCGCGCAGCGAAAAAAAACTATTCAAAGATCTGACAACTAAGCCGACAGCAGATAAGCAGACAAATAATTGGCCGACAACTCTATTTGAAGCAAAATGTTTTCCGTTTGAAAGAAAATTCATTATGAACCTAGATACAAGTGATTCTGTTAAACAAGTTCTTGAACCGAAAGTCTATATTCTAGTTTTATAACTCTTGCTAACTGCCAGCGCAATTGTACACTGAAGCGGAGTAGAGCTTCTCACCACATGCGATAACTGAATGACTATCACTACTTGCAGTTGAACCGAAAATCGAAAAGACTTCAAAAAACTGTTTTTTTTTCTTGAAAAATAATAAAAATAAAAAAACTAAATCTTTCAACTGAATTACCTGCGCCTTTCAGAGGCGAAAAGAAACATTGCACTACTTGCGCTATGAGACATGCATAGCATGACAATCTAATCGAGGGAAATAGAGATGAAATCCGCAGAAAAAAAAAACATTTTTTTTTAAAAAGTTCAAAAAAAAATTGATCTATCAAAATCTTTCTTTTATTTGCGTTGATTTTGTCTTAAAGTCCTCTTACAAAATATGCCAAAAAATAACACAGAGGCTACTTTCGCTTCGCAAACACTAGCCAGAACACGAAAATAAAAGCAGCTCTAAAAGTGCAATAAAAAAAGTAGAAATAAGCCTCGCATTAGCAAAAAATTCGGCTGACATTCAAAGCTGCAACCTAGAGATTATGAGTCTCCCGCACTAACCACTCAGCCACAGAGGCCTAATAGTTATAAGCCAAAAACTAGAAACAAATAAAGCAGAGAACAGATGCTATGCAATTTGCAATGCTGTGAAATATCCAAATAAGTGAACACTTTTAGTTGCGGGTTAGGTTAGAAAAACAAGAAGGTTCGTAACAATACACTAAGCTGAGGCTAATTTAAACAATTGAATGTAACTACGCAGTCTAAGTTGACTTAACCAATGAAAACAAAAGCCGAAACCCCTTAATCGAAAAACAAATTTTAAAAAAACATTCAGTGCTTAATCGAAAAACAAAGTTTAAAAAAAAACGTTCAGTCAGACTTGTTAAAATGACAAATTACAAAACTTCAAATTATAGTAAAATATTTTTACATAAAAAAAGCATGTTTCCTAATGTAAGCCTATTAAAATTAGTACCAGATAAATAAATGCTATTTAAAAAACGCAAACTGAACCGACACATAAGACTAGCGGCCTTTGGAGGGGTCCCAGTGTCATTCGCCTCCTCAAGGTAGGAGGACCGGCTGCGGCGAAACGGATGACATCATCCCCCCCCCCCCCAACGGTTGGTCCGGCACTGAGCAGGACCGGGTGCAATAAAAAAAGTTGGAAAATATTATCTGCAAATTTGACAAGTGACATCGATCAACTCTTTAGATGACTTCACTTATTCTTATTGAAGGATAATGATTATGAGTATCAACATGCCTTTTGAATATAAACGAGATACCACATTTGTGCATGCTGATTCCAGATAATCAACACATAGCAAATTAAGTTAACTCGTTAAAACTTAACTCGATAAAACTAAGTTAAAACTAAATTCACTTAATTTCATAATCTCGGTCAGTATTATAGTTAATGCCAAATCTGAACGTGAAACTGCTCATTTTGACTCAGATTTCTGTTTTTCACTAATTTCCACACTTAATTTCTTAATTTATCTTGGTTAATAAACGCTGTGAAAACACTTACTTATCTTTTTAATATTCGTGTTCTTCAGCTTCAATTTAATGGACATTCTTGCTGTAAAAAGACTCCGACTGCGTTTCGAGTGTGGATTCAGTCCACATGAGATAGGAAAACTACAGGAACTTCTCGCAACTTTAGAAATTTCCACTTGCATCAAAACTGCTGCTCGAAATGACGACATGAATGAAGGCGTCGATTTAAAGAAACTTACCAAGACTGTTATCTCCGATTTCGAAGGCTCAAAATTCAACCTTATCGAAACAGCCGCTAACCGTATAGCATTTTTGTGCTTAACGTTCTCACGGAAAATAAATGCAGTGAAAGTATTACTAGAAAAACCAGGAGCAATTCGGTTTGCGCAACAGTCTTCAATTACCATTTCAAGAAGTCTAGAAGATTATCCAATCAATCAACTAGCAATTTCGATCGGATCGAATAAAAATGCTAAATTAAATATCCAATCAGCAATAACAAAAATCGAGCAATCTTTCGACTCAACTGAAAAAATCTCCAAATATTATATGACCAAAAGCATTGGCGAAAATGGAGAAATCGACCCGAATAAAGAAGATTTCATCAACGCATGCTGTTTGATCACAACACGAATGGACATGTTCATGGCTAAATGTCAGCTCCGAAAAATTGAGGCCACGCTTGGTCGCATTCGAGATCCAAATGACAAATTTGCAGCCCGAGAAATTGATTTAGATATTACGTTTGCGGGAAAAATTGGCAACGAGTTTTCGGATAACGCATTTCTGGACGTAGAAGAGGTCAAAAAGTTTGCCCATGTACTTGTGCCACTCAGTGACGTCATGCCAGATTTGTACGACTCCGAGTTGGCAGATACTATCTTAGGGGCTGCGCAGAAAAAAACGGGCTTGACTAAACCAAGCGATTACTTCAAAACATGTGATCTGTAGCTTTGTGACATGGTCCTACCAATCTGTAAAATATCTTGTAAATATCATGTTACATTTTTTGTAAGTGTGTGTGTATCTCTGAATACTTGGAACGCATACAGAACTAAGCTGAATAAAACTTAAGGATCTTATTAAGTTACAGAACAAAGATTTTAAGCAATATATTGATTTTTTGGAAAATAAAATGTACTAGAGAAATTTTTGATCTGGAGTAAGACAGAATCCAAGCACCAGTAATAGTAGCACCAAATCTAACATAGACAAAAGAAGTAAGAAAAGTGTCAATGAACTCATGGAAACCAAGAAATTAATCGAATTTTCTAATCAGTTTCTAATTTCGAAATAAATATATCATGTGAAGCTCTTTAAATTTCAAGAACCTTTTATGATTAATAATTGTTTCATTAAAATATCCCAACCAGAGAAAACCCGGGCTATTTTTTTAAATCGCTGAGAATGCTTAAAATGGTGGGTATTCACAGGTACAAAATCAGTCTAGTTAGTACCAAAACAAAAAATCAGTCGTTTAACTACCAAAACTTCTTCGATCGGTCGAAGACTACTTAGCCAACTACCGCGGTTTAAGGTAGCCGGTGGCAATACACACATGCGAAACGAAGCTTTTCAACAATTACGCTATAAAAACATTGCGTACTATGATAGTGGCTAGAAAAAAAGATAGAACTCTTTTTTCTGAAAATTAAATTGAAAAAAATGACATACAAACAATTACACCTAAAATTTTTTTATCGTTGTATCAGATTATTTAAAAGCCTTAAAAAGCATAGAGAATTATTTACCCAGCGGGAACTAAAGCGACAAAATTTAAGCCCAAACTAAATGTTAAAAAATTTTTTGTCACATTCAATCAAACTGATACACATAAGAGCATATATTTTGCCCTCGGAACTACGCAATTTAAAGTAAACAAGCTGCTATAACATGTATAACAAGCTGCAACCTTTTATCAAAAACGGAATTTTCAAAATCGGTATTCTAAGTTTTCAATTATAGAATAATGTTTGAATCAAAATAAAATCCTTACTGGAAAATAGGCGAATAAAAAAATCGATCCAAATAAATAAATAGCATTTCAAAAAACTAAAATTAACCAACGGAAACAAAGACAAAAAATACAAATCCAAAAAATGAGCAATTTTTGCAACTGAATTGAAAAAATTGTTACTGCTTGAAACGCAATCCACCTAATTTCTATCTAACTTATAAGATGCTATTTCTATTTAAATTTTCAAGAAATTGAAAATGTTTATCTTTCTTACTTAATTGTACCAGGTTGCAACACCCGTGCTGATCGCCAAGGTAACACAGAGGCAAAGATGTGCTTCCCAAAGACTAGTGAGAGCACGACAAAGCAGCTATATAAAATGCAATAATAAAAAATTGAAATAAGCCTCGAATTAGTTAAAGTTCGGCTACGTCTCGGATTCGATCTGCAGCAGAGATTATGAGTCTCACGCACTTATCATTCACGGACGCTTAAAAAATCACAAACACTAGCCGCAAATAAAGCAGGGAACAGATGCTATGAAATTTCTAATGCTACAGATTGTGATTGTAGCAAAAGTGCCACTAAATAAGTGAAAACAATGAACAATTTTATTTGCCAGTAAGCTTAGATAAAACAGAAGGTTTGCACTAATACACTAACACAAGACCACTAGTTTAAAAAAAATCATACCCTTAGTTGACTATCTCACAACACGTTGACGCGACTCCGGCAGTCAGTATATTTTGATTCTCAGACGCTTGGTTTTATGCTGCTTGAGCAATAGATCATTTTAAAATTCCGCTTGAAATATAATAACTAAAACCTACTTTCAAACTTAAAGCATTCAAGTTTTTTGCTCCATATGAAAATTCTTAACTGGATAGCGCATTTGTTTTGCCTTCCTTTTGGCAAATGAATTTGAAAAGAATTTTAAAAAAACAGATATCAAACCAAAGTGCCAATAGTTAATTAGTTAATTTAGTTAATAATTTAAGCGAGACAAACACTAGCGATAACACGACAAAAAAACTCTATAAAGTGCAATAATAAAAAGTAGAAATAAGCCACTAATTAGTAAAAATTCGTCTACATCTCACATTAAAACTTACGACCTACAGCTTATGAATCTCACGCACTAACCACTAAAAACAGCAGAGAACAGATGCTGTGCAATTTCCAACGCTACACTGATGTTTTTATATAAGTGAAAACTTTTATTTGCGAGTTAGGTTAGAAAAAAAGAAGGTTCGTACTGACACACTAACTCTCGCAAGTGTAGAAAAAAAACAATAGGACCATTATAATTGTTTTAATTGCGTTCATTGACACTGAAGAAAATGTTTACTAATTATGTTGGGTTTTGATACTTCTGTCTAATATACTCCTCGTATTTTCTTAGACTTTCTGTAGGTACGCTGTCGGCTCCCGATTTGCCCAACTGCACATAGTTCTTGTATATTTCGTCGTCTCTATTACTCGGCTCTTTCAAGTACACCTCCCTTTGACTGCTATTGGTCGAATCAAACAAACATCTGTGATCTACGAACACACTAGAAAGTGTATCTCCATTGTCGACAATTTTAGCGTTCAGAATTTTGGACCTGGAAAATTTCAAATCAGTTTCAACTGGTTGTTTTTGATTGGTATCGGCCGATTCTCCGCTTTTGAAAATTCCAGACTTTTTCCCGACCTCTACATAATTTTCATATGTCTTCAAGCAGTTAGAAGAAGGTTCTAGTATCTCAAAGCCATACTTTGCATCTCCAATTTTACAAGTCGAAGTTTTTTTCTTAGCTGGTTTTCCATACTTCGGGAACTCAAAAAACAAATCAGAAACTTCTTCGGCTTTTTCACGTCTCGTGTACTTCACCTTCGGCTCAATAAACGTGCCTTTTGTAGCCGCTGAAATTGCTGCGGTTTTGAACGCACTGTAACCAAAGAGTGGGAATACAAGGTCGTCCATCAGTGAAAACTTCTTCTGCAATTCTCCTTTGAATTTACTGCTTAAATTTGCTTTTTCGGTTTTCCTAACTAATGAAAAATCCTCGGCTTCATTTGAACTGGAACCCAAAAGTGCCGTAGTCGACGCCACTTTACCATCGACTGATTTAATGAACTCCTTCCCAGATTCTTGATAGTGGCCACTAGATGTCAACTTCAGTCGGTCGATTGTGAGAAAATGTTTGTTCAGCTTAAGCAACATATCGAAGCTGGTGAGTCTGAAAGGTCTGTAAAATTGGATATACCAATCGATGAAATCACTTCCTGATGATCTGCCTCCAGTTTCACTCAGTTGAGACGCCGTCGTCTGCTTCTTCAGAAGCTTCACGACTCCGCAGAATGATTCGTCCTTGGACACTTCGTTCCAAGCACGTGGCAAACACTTGACTACATCTGAATTGAACCACTGGTGGTTAGACTTCACTGCTGTTGTGATTGAGGTGTCAAACACATGGTGAAGTGAATAGTCTGACTCCATGTCCCAAAGAGGCAGAGATCGTAATCCATACAATGCATCGTCAGTAGCGATAGGTTGGATTTTATCGGTAGGCGACAAACGAACATTCCCCCTATAGAGTGTTGAGCTTTGGACTGCGTAAGCGGCCTGTGACTTGTGATGACTCGGAATATTCATAGGCAAACGTGTTACATGATGCTCCGATGGTCTATACACTCCTAGGAACACATTAATCGCTTCCTGTTTCTCCTTGTCTGAAAATGTGTTGTTGTAGTAACGCGATATGCTTTGCACTGTTGGGGTCAACCTGGTTCCCGGGATATGAGAGTGATACTTTCGTCTGTAGCCTTCTATTCTGTGCACTAGATAGCTACTTCCATACTGCAATGCAATAGTATCACCCAATGAATCGTATATTTCCTCCAACATCCGAACACAATGCATGTCGTAACCGATTTCGTCTCGATTTGTCACGCCGAGGGCTAGAATTTGTTTTCTCAAGGCCACCAGTCCTAAAGCGAATTGGGCCGTGTTGGTTCGATCCAAGCAATCAACGCAATTTACCCGAACAATTCCAGTTTGGATTAACTTATCCGGGGCGTCATTGTGCGTCAATTCGTTGGAAGCCAGAATTTTGGCACTCACTTTACCAGTGTAAAACACGCCAACCTTTTCAACCATACTGTTAGCTCGCTGTATGATTTTATCCAGGGTATTTTCACCTTTTCTCTTACTAACAGCCGACATATCTAAATGGTAGTAGTCCAGACGATCTTCGACAGGAACGAACTGATTGAAATATTGGATTGCTCTGGTGAATTCTCTCGTCAGCTTGTTTTCCTGGTGCCCTTCTTTCTTTTTGACCAAGTTGAAGACAATGATTGGCGATCCGTACTGCTTCAGCAGGCCCATGAAATGTTTTCCAGTTACAATATAACAAGGATCCGCACAGTCGAATCTTATTTCTGGCTTTGTTTTGAAACTCAAATTTTTAGTCGAAGGAGCAGTTTGACTCCACAGCAAGGGAACACTTCCTCTCAGCTGCACAAAACTTGAAAACCTTCCGTGCGTAAAACTCGACGGCATGTAGTCACCAACAAGTTGTTCAAGCTCTACTTCATTCGCTACATCTCCTTGGCAATTCGCTCCTCGTTTGTTGAACCTCGTACCGGCGTACAATCTCGAGCGTCGTGCGATCACTGTCAACAACATTGTTCGACGTGTTTTATTTGTCTCTAATGGTTCTACTAATACGTTGTTCAGAACACATTCAGACGACGCTTTCCGCATTCCGCGATTAACATTTGAATAGTGATCATCTACCCCGCCCATTTGTAGCTTCATTTGACTCACAAACCCGTGAATTACACACAAAACCCACTCATGGTTTTGATCATTGATATTCAACTCGTGCGAGGTTTCGGAATTCCTTTTTGGCAATCCAACATTTAGCATTGGCTTCAAAAGGAACGCATTCCACATGAATTTATCTCTCGGCATCTGCCTGAAGCCCAAAACTTTATTGGCACTATTCGGCGAATTCGTTTTAATGGGCGCCAAATTGTACTGCAATGTGTTAGTTAAATCGTATCCGTAACTGAAGTAAAAATTCACCGTGAGATCCACGCTTTGAAAAAGTTTTTTGTACTTCTCTTCAAGTGATAGCGACACAGAGTCTTTCGGCAGGGGTCCCAAAGGTATCATTTGCACGCCGTCAATTTTGTACACTGCATACGGTCCTATGTTGGCCACTCGCGATTTTTTGGTGATGACAATGATGTAATAAGGACCAATGAATCTGACAAATCCTATGATGCCGAAGCCTTGGATCATATTCCTGATTCTATACATCCTCGTTTTGCTTTGATCTCCCTCCATCATTTTTAAGGTCTCCTCTTTTTCGGATCTTTTCAACGGAACTGAAGTGTAACTTATATCTAGCTCCGTCTTTTTGGACCCGGTTTTAAAGATTTTGAGAAACCAGAAAAGGGTATCATCTTCGTTGGAACCAATGCAGAGATATAATTGAGAGTATTCCTTCAATTCAATTTTCTGGATTCTACTCGAAATCATGTGCTGTTTTCGCCAGTCCCATTGAAACGGCTCCATTCTGATTTGCGATGTTGAGAAAACTATTTTGTTCTACGCTAGGAAATTTGCCAACTACAAATGTCTCTGTTTGATTTGGATAACCTCATGGTTATTAAGACAGAACGGATATGCCTAATATGCATTTGAACAATCACAAGGCCTGAAACTTAGAAACGTCTGTCAATATTACGAATAGCACGAACAAATAGCTTACATCATGAAACTTTCTTTGTACAATCTAATTTTTTTTTATTGATAAGTAAAAATAAGCTACAAACCTCGAGAAACACTGCAAAACCTATCTCACTTTTATGCCTAAAGTTTGAAATAAAGTCCACTATAATTAAGCAGTCACTTTTGATTTTTTAAAACTTCAGACGGTTCAGACACACTACAGCTCCCTTATCAAAAAGACACTCAACTGGCTTCTTATTTCTAGTTTTATACTGATAGACAACTTTACTCTTTGTGCTGTTTTGCTCATCGCGTAACTTCACAGTAAGCGAGTTGGAATAAGACATTGTTCGAATCAGGTGAGCAAACTGCTCAACGGCTACACATTGAGTTGGTGTGAGGCCAGTTGGTATATGAAACACTTGTCTCTCTCGTTCAGCAACCCACCGATATCTGTAACGCAAAACAGTATCTTGAAAAATATGCTTGCTTCTTTTCTTTTTTGTAATCTGATCTGACAAATTGGAACTCTTCACAGGAAACTTGAGCGGACTTAAGAGCGGACTTTGGCATTCGGACTCCGGTTCACTCCAGGTTTTTTTGGCAGCACAACTGTTGTAACAATTATTTTCAATGGGACACAACAGGCCAGACTCTAAGATTGTGTAATTGAACTTTCTCAACTCCGCAATTTCGTTTACCTGTTGCTCATTTTCAATCTGATTTCTTTGTTTGTTAACATTTCCCGCAGTCCTTTTTACGGGGGGAGCTTTTCCTCTTGGATTGATTATCGAAGCCAAATCTGACATTTTCGTGAAGTACAGCGCAGATCGAATCGAGGTCTTTCTATTCTCTGCTCTGGGCTTAAACTTGAGGTTGTCAATTACAAGTTTTTCGCCTTTTTGCTTTCCCAGAGAAACTTTTTTGACTTTTCGTTTCGTAGGCATGATTCGGCAGCAATTCAACTAAAAATCTTAATTCGGATTTGAGCAGCAGCAAGAACTGAGCTTCTCGTCAATTCTATCACAGAAATTAGAAACTTGAAAAACAGTCGGGACACAATTTTATATCCGGATCTCCATAAAACTTATCGCTCTCCATAAAGGGCAAGCAGAAGGTCAAAAGTATCATAGAACCCGATGTTACAGTCAGGAGTTACTTCATCACAAATTCCAGTCAAAATCCTGGAAATTTTCTAGATATGGAAGTGAATATGATAAAAAGAAGATTGGAGTTAAAGAGATTAAAACTAAACTCGACACGAGTAAAAAAAAACAAGCCTGCAACATTGTTGTCAAAAACTAGCTCTGTCCAGTAATTTTTGGATTTCGTTTTCCGGGTCCAGTTCCATTCCTTTTTTTGAAATGGTAATCAGAAGGTCATAAGTATCATAGTAACCGAGGTTACAGTCAGGAGTCCCTTCATCACGTATTCCAGTCCAAATCCTTGGAATTTTCTGGATATGGAAGTGATAATGTGACATTCGACCAGAATGTCACAAATGCAATCTCTGCAGAATTCGGAATTTTAGCAGTAAGCCTTCCGGATTGGTGGTTTTTAAGAACTAAGGGCGTTATTGGAACGTTTAGCCAAACGGTGGAGGCTGGAATATTCTAGTATTTTAAAATTTCAAAAATTCGAATGATGACGTCACATTTCTGAGAAATGCTGAAACGGCCATTTTAACAAGAAACGAGAAAAAAAAACAACAACATTAGTTGCGCTGACGAGAACAACTTTATCGAAATTGAAGAAGTCGAAATTGAAGAAAAACAGCAGCAGATTGCAGAGAACGTTCCGACTTGCAACTATTGTGCTGCTACAATAGTTGCAAGGCCGTTGCGAACAACGGTGAAGGGTAAGAAACCAGCCTTCCGTGTTGTCGTGAAATCGAACTTGAGGAGCTTGATTCACCGGATTCAAGAATCCGGAAGGGTCTCGGGACGGAAAACTTTTATTGACTCTTTTGAACTTTTAGCATCCTGGCATGTCCTGACTTGAATTTAATTGATATTTGGATTAGTTTTGACAAGGATGAGGTGCTAAGAGTTGGGGGGGAAAGGTTTGATCCATCTTCGATGGAGATGATGATTTTTATCTACTGAACAAAAACAATAGTAATATAATAAGTAGTAGCCCTGTTTTTAGGAGTGACCTCGTGGTCTGGGGATACTGAGACCCAGCCATGAGCTCTTTATTTTTGCATGTAATTCAGTTAATTTTAGCGTTCTGGTCGAAGCCGGAGAACAGTAACGTTTTTGTCGACCCGATGTTAGAAAAGACCACCGAAAAGTACTGGCTTGGTAGAGACGGCGAAAAACATGCAAAGCTCTGTTTAGACGCTAGCCAGTCGTCTTAAGACTTAGTTTTGTTATCCGTCGATATGTATCTTCCGGGCGAATGTTACATGTATGTTTTTATGGCGCTCCTGGGTGTTATTCTTTTATAACATCATGACCGGCGGAACCGTTAACGAGCACTCCGCGCCGAGCGGATGCTCACATTAACGCCCTTAATAGGCCTAAACCGCCGGGGCGGAAGGGTAGTTCGGAACGCGGAGGCCTTCCGGATTGCCGTGAAAAGTTTTTTAACCTAGTTAAGACCGAAAATTCACGAACCAGGAAGGGTGGGGGGATCGGCCGTCTCCTCGTCCCCTGAGTGGTTGGTGACCAAAAACACTTAAAGATATAAGTAAAACCAAACAAAAAGTAGTATAGTACCCAAGAAAAACAAAAAACATAAAAAATAACCGAAAAAACCAAAAACAGTAAAAAAAGTAAAAAATCAGTAGAAATCATCCCCCCAGACAAGATGTGATTCAACCCCCCCCCCCGTTTGTTGTTGATAGATATATTGTTGTTACAGGCATTTATATCAGTCAGGATCGTTACGATCAATTTTGTAGCCCGTTTGTGAGGCTTGTACTGTAGGGTTATTTGAGCATTTAGGCACGTTAATGATAAATTGCGCTCAATCCGGAAGGGTCAGCTGATTTGCGCTCAATTGGGAAGGGTCCTGGGTGAAGACCGATCCAGCAAGCAGTACAAGGAGCAACAAGAAGGGGCTCAACGACAACAACAATCGACTGTTGGGTATCGTTAACAAGTTTTGTATCCTTTTTGGTACAAAAAGTAAGATAGTAATCTGTGGGGGGCTCGACAGTGCTGCACTGTAGTGACCCTTCACCGAACTGCGAATATCCGAGTTAAGCACCCTAATTCGGATAATAAACAAACCCGGAGGGGTATAGTATTACTAATATTATTACTTATATAGCCTATATTAATAGTCTTATATCGTTTTTCAGTGAAAAACAACGAAAACAGACCGGTTTTTAGGGTCAAAATAGCGATATTTTGATCCCCCCACAAGTCGCGATTTTTGAGACATCGATATTTTTTGAAACGGAAAAAAGCGCTAAGTTAGTGTGTTACATTGTAACTGTACTACTGTAATAAGTAGAACCGGTTAACTTTAGTTCGGAAGTGGTTGGAACTAGTTTGGTACCAAAAACCAAATTTTCCCATTTTTTGATAGTAAGAAACACTATAAAATCAGAAAATTTTTTGAAATCTTTGAGTTAGGACAGTAAAAATAGTTGTTCGGACAACGTCCACTAGTGAATCTACGAGTTTTAAAACCCGCTACCCGAAAGCCTTCCGGGTTGCAGAGAAATCGAACATAACGTGTTTGATTTGGTGGATTCATCAATCCGGAGGGGTCCAGGTGGCATAGTTTTTCGCAAATTTTTTCTACAAAAGCGTTTTAGATCGGGTCTTTTGCATTGACCTAGAAGAGTATAGGCCTTCTGAGCTCGGATCAATAATTTTTAGGTCGAAAGGAACAGAATTGCGGAAAAAGTTAGGTGGAACCTATAAGTGAGAAATTTTTTGAGTTTACAAAAAAGACGTTTTGGTTAATAACTTTGGAACTACAGGGCATATCGAGTTGATCTTGGTACCAACAGATCAGAGATTAGCTGAGCTTACTGTCAGGATCGGGAAATTTCCCGGAAAAACGAGCGAGAAAATTTCTTGAGATTGTTTTTAGCAAATTACACAAATCCGGAGGGGGTACACCCTTCACGTTTTATAAATTTTTCTGAAAAACCCTTATACCCCTACCAAAAGTTGATAGCGATTGAACTAAGTAACTTAGGACAGTTCTAGACAAAAAGGGAGGGCTGAAGGCACAAGACAACCATAATAGAGTCGAAATTAGGCAAGTGATAAGACCCTTCACCGTTAGTGTGAATTGTCAAATAAGTGCCTTAACTTCAATCCGGAGGGGTCTAGGAAAGGACGTATAAAAGCATCGGAGAACGTATCCGGAGGGGTATAAGCTGAAATTAAGAAAACTACGAAAAGCTACTTTGACAGGGCTAAGGGCTCCGAATCCGGAGGGGTCTACTTTCCACAAAACCGGAGGGGTCCGAATCCGGAGGGGTCTTATAGTTGCTAATTCGGAGGGGTCCAAATCCGGAGGGGTCTACTATTAAGTAACTCGGAGGGGTCCCAATCCGGAGGGGTCTATATTCTGACAGTCCGGAAGGGTCCTATTTGTGCCAATCCGGAGGGGTATTATTTTATTAAGGACTTAGGTAGACGAAAGAAAGACTAAAAAGTGAGAGGTATTAGGTTATTAACACACAGGCTAGGTATCAGTGTCTTTCAATAAGAACCAGACTAATACAAAACAGGTCCGAACTCGGATATTCGCGACACTAAGTCTAAATTAAAAAGAGCGTGATTCATTGGTGTGGATTGAAACATAAGACGTTTTTGGGAAAAGTGACTGCCCTGAGGATTTTAGTAGGTCTAGCTCGGGCAGTCCGAAGGCAGATAGGTAACACAGTACTCGGTGGGTGCAATAGACGCCCACTTAAGAAAATTACTGCCTTCAAAGTTTTGTCTGTTTGGTGCGGCACCGAGCAGGGAAAGCTTTTTCTTTAAAAGACAGGTTCGACTATTGTACTGCGACCGACTAAGAGTACAAGACACCTACGTTTTTTTTATATATACATTCATATTGTGTCAAAATAAATTATTTGTTTTTGATTTTAAATCAACGTAAACTGTGCTTGATTGGGTAGTGAATACACTATCTTTTAAATTGACTGATAACATCATATTGTGCTAGTTTCCAGATCTTTGGACCGATAATCGGTTAGTGTGAATAAATTTTATACAAACTGTACTCTGACAACACAGGGATTCGTGGTCACTATTTAATAGAATCTGGTGAAATTTATTGTGTTGTGTCATTATTATTGTTAATAAAACTATAAGGTCTCTAGCAATTGAGTCAAGAGTAGGCATAGGAAAGTGACAAATAGAGAAGAATGAGTCTAGACAAGTCAAGGATACCAAAACGAGGTAATAGCTCTAGGAAATTCATACCTGAAAAGCAAAGAGAAACGATGACCGATCCTTTTGTGGATTGGATCAAGCGATCCCGGTCCGATAAAGGGGAGACGGTTTCAGGCAGAATGGTTGAAACGAGAAGTCAGAAGACCTCGGAAGAGCGAAGAGAACTGTTAGAAGTGGAGGTCAATACGGACCATACCATGAACGACAACCAGGGAGTAAATGGACTGGAAGGGAGAGGCAGAAGGCTGGCGAGTGAATCTACTCCGGTAGAACAAGGCCATGATTTTGCTACTTCCACCGGGACATTGGATCGAGAGGAGATGTCGGAACTGTCCGACATCTCAACTGAAGTAACGGCAACTAGAAGATCTCCGACAGACAACACTATGATGGCAAGCGGAACTGGGAAACAAGCAACCTCATCATCGTTCTCAGAAAGAATGAAGAACACCTTCGGAAACATCTTTCCATTCAGCATGGGAGGAGGAGCAGGAAACGATGGTGAGTCCCAGGAGGAAGAGGATGAAGAGGAGCAAGGGGACTTTGGATCTCAAGTCAGCCTCAATAGTTCGATCCAGGAGAGTGAGGCACACGTCGGAAGAGAGACTGGAACCATGGACAAATTTGGTGTAGTGACAACGATAAGCAAGGAGGCAAACACACCGGGCCAGTCAAAGGACTTCGCGATTAGGACAAGTTCGGAGCCGCAACCTGAAGAGAGTAGAACCAGAGGGCTCGGCAATGCGTTAATGGATCCTGAAATAAATAATGAAAAGACGTTGAAGCAGAGAGTCAAGGCCCGGATCTCGACAAGCACGAAGTTAACTGGGACCGACAGGGTTACACCGCCACTAGTGACGCCACTCGTGGATAACGGGGCAGCACTAGAGGAAGCCTTAAACAACATAGTGGGCAGTTTAGGAGAACAAAATGAACAGATGTCGATAAGGATGAGTGAACTAGAAAGAGCAGTTCACATTGAGAGGGAAAGGCTGCGGGAAGAAATAAACCGCAACAGACAAGAAGTTGACAGGAGCGAAAAACGCTTGAAAGAAAGAACGGACGAACATATGACGAGGAACTTGTCGCGAATGACAAGAGAGGCGGAACAGAGGGAGTTACGCTTAAGAGCCGACATGGAGAAATTAAGAATTCAGCAAGAGCAGTCTCTTGGGTCTCTTGACACAAAGATAGACGCGATGATGGAGAGGCGAACTCAGGCTATCATGGATAGGTTGGACGGGCTACTAAGCAGCAAGAGTGGACCAAAAGAAGGAGAGCCGAATTCGGGAGGTCCAAGCAGGGAACCGAGGGTGAACTTCAATGAACATCAAAGGAGGAAGACGTATGGATCCACTAGAGGCAGGGGCAGTTCATCAGGCTATGCCACAAGGGGTAATACAGCATGGGGCCCGAACAGTAGAGCAAGTTCAACCGGGAACAGACAAACCTCGAACGAACGACCAACGCAAGGCACACATGCGACTGGGAGAAGTGATTCCGGCAACAAGGGGCATGCAAGCCCGAAGAGGAGTCATGTAGGTCAAGAGGGAAACACTCACGGC